TTCACTGAGTCCTTAAAATTTCAATGTAGTTTGAGCAAGTATTAAGTGAACTCATGATCTGATCCTTCTTCCCTTCCCCTCCCTTCCCTTCCCTTCCCTTCCCTTCCCTTCCCCTCTCCTCCCCTCCCCTCCCCTCCCCTTACTCTCCCCTCCCCTTCCCCTACCCTTCCTCTCCCCTATCCTCCCTTCTCCCTTCTTCCTTTCACTCCCTTCCCATCCCCTCCCCTCCCTCCCTCCCCTTTCCCTTTCCTATGCTCTTCCTTTACATCCTCCTTTTTCTTTGGTACTATAAGTTGAACCCAGGGTCATGTATATACTCACTAGGCCTGTGCTGCACCATTGAGCTACATTCCCACATTCCATGATACTTTTTGATATTATTATTTTTAAATCTCCCCTTCTAATCATAAGTAATGAAGTATATATTGGGCACTTCCCATGAGTTAATAATTAAACTGATCTTTTCAATATTAAATTGAGATGCAGTAATGACATCTAAATTTTGCAGTGAGTTGCCATTGTCACAGATACAAACCCAAATCAATTGCTAAATTATAAGATCATGCTATATTTTTGAAGAACAGATATTGAGTAGCATGTGTAGGGCAATGCTGCCACCTTTGCTGGCCCAATTTACTAGCAAATAATTAGGTGATCAAAAACATACTTTTCAAACATTTTTGCTAAAATGGAAACCTTAATTCTTATGTTAGTATTGTAACTCAAAGAATTTTTACATATTCTAAAATAGGAGATTTTTAAAATGATGGACCTAAAATCTAAATTAAAGATGTGTTTATCTTTGGGGTGTCTCTCAAGGAAGAGCCCCAGTGAAAGCTGGCCCTGAAAGAACTATCCACATGTAGCGCAGCGGTCGAACAGAGTCAGGAGAGTGAGGTGTGGTGGGTGCCTGAACTGACTGTGGGAGCCTCTGCTTGAGCTGTTGACTCTTAAAGGGAACACCCTCCCAGAGCCATCTCCTCCTGAAGTGAAAGGAGGAAGCATAGACTCATTGCTCCTGTTTCTAACTGGTCAATGATAACTTCATGAGTGATACTTTATCTTTGGTTGCTCTTGCAGGTACTTGGAGGCCAAATAGATTTTCATAGGTGATTCATGGTGCAGCACCAGAGACTCAGTAATGGGAATGAGAAGTTCTCAGCATGGGCTCAAATGAGATGCTGCCGGACTACATCTGTTCAAAGTGGCTTGAAGGACAGTGGAATTGGTTTCTAAATAACGAATGGGGTTGAGAAGGCTCAAAGTGTCGTCTGAGATTTACTTGATTCCAAAAATGTTCTATTATTAAAATTTCATTAATCTAAACTTCAGAATATAAGCAAATTGAAGTCTAAATCAAACTAATTTCAATTCAAAGAAAATTGTGTTTCAGGAAAATGACAAATATAGCCACAGGAAGGGCATGGATGTAGTGTAATGCAGAGGTCTGTGATAGAACTTGAATTGTAACTCTAGACTGTCAGGTAGGATCTGTAACATGTTAGGAGAATTACTTCAGCACTTCAATTTCCTGTTCTGTAAACCTCACAAAATCACATTAGATTCATAGATTTGTTGCAGTGTTAAATGAATTACATGCACAAGGTACAAAGACAAGTTCCTGGATCAGCGTTAGTCACCAGCCATGCTGTCCTCATTTCCACTGCCATCATCAAGTTCATCATTCAGGAATGCAGAGAACACTTCAAGATTCTATTTTCCTCACTTTTTGTGAAGAAGGCAGGCTTATAGGCAACCCAATAGCTTGGAATCCAAGGATGAAAAAAGTCAGTTCTGGGGGAACACCCTTGGGGAGGGCACTATTTGACCAGGGCTATGTGACTGTCTCCAACAGTTAGCACGATAACTGGCTCTCCAAGGCCATCTGAATTATGTGTCCATCTATGGCTGGGAGAGAGAGAGCTGAGCATAAATAAGGTCAACACACCCTAACCACAAAGCACATGCTCCCCAGGGTCAGAGACAATTGTAATGAGGTGACGATAATGAGTTTATAGTCTGGCAAAACAGAGACTATCTTCTAATGACACAGCTGTAGGCACATTTTATTTACTGGTGAATGTCAATGCAGAAGTCAGTAACACCACTGGCTAGCAGAACTCACAGAAGGGAATATATATTGATTACTTTCAAGTTCTTGTAACAGACACACATTAATGCTCTGCTAACTGTACCACTGAAAATCTTAATGGTCTTGGGATATGAGGATTATTGAAGTAATTCCAGGTGATAGAATATCATAGAATAGAAAATGTCTCAGCCTGCATCACAAAATTTATGTTAACTTTTTGGAATGAACTCTTTTAGATTTCTTACCAATTTCAAGCTTTTTCTTTTTTCAATGCAATCATACTATATGTTCCTATTTTAAAACTATAAAATGCAAAAGTCTTTCTTTGTCCTACTTTCACAATCACTGGCAATGATTTTGTGCAAATGGTCAAAGTAGTATCTTTCCTATTAATTGAAATTATGCTTTATATCATAACCAGTGGTATATCTCTGTTTATGAGAATTGGACTGCAAGTTAAATTAGCATTGTGCGTACTGATATTCTAAAGCAGTTTTAATGGAATTAATTGCAGCTTTCCCACAGACATAAGTCTGAACATGGTGTCTTTGATGTCCTATTCACTCAATTTGTGGTCTGTTCTGTATGAAATGACATTTATGACAACCTTCATAATGACAAAGAATTTCTATCAACTTTAAAATTATGGCCTAAGTATTTACTTCTTTTTCTTAACCTCTTCTTTTAAAGTACCTAGAGAAACTATAAACGTGCCAATTTTTCTTTTCTTAGGAATTTTTATAGTATGTTGGCTGTCAGAATATGTAATAACAACAGAAAGTACATTGAATAATAATTAACTGTTGATTACATTTTTCATTTCCTATTTATTCACACATCTTTTAAAATTCCTACAAAAATAAGAATATCTGGATAAACAAGATGAATCCATAATGTCTTCAGGAAGATGTATCAAAAATACTTGGAAGCACGATAGCTTATAGCTAATTGGAGACAGGTGATTTAGAAATGCCTCTCTGTGTTGGGATTGGGATGGGAACTGACAATAAAAACTCTACCTAAAGTAGCCAGGAAACTTACAAACGCTTGGGAGGAAAATAAAATACATCCAAATGTACAATTTCTCTAAAACAGTCAAAAGACCATACTCTCTTACACCAATTTAAAAGAGTTGGAGCCACTGGGATGGCTCAGGGGGAAAGGTACCTGCCACCAAGCCTGGTGACTTGGATGTTACAGAATATTATTTTAAGGTGTGTTACTTTTGTTTATGCTCTGGAATATTTGTTTAATGATGCAAAGATTTGTTTGATTAAATAAAATTCACCTGTGGTCAGGAGGCTGGGTCAGCAACTAGCTGACAACAAGTGGGAAGGAGGTGCCAGGTGGAGAAGGGTTTGTAAGGAGGGGTGAGGAGAAGCATGAGGGCTTCTGGAGAGAAGCCAGAGGAGAGGAGGTGAGCTACTTGCTATTCAGCCTCTCTGAGAAACAGAATTCCACCTCAACCTTTGAATCTTGACTTCTTTAGAGGGACAAAGATTTAGATAAGTTCCCTTCATATTTGTGAACATATCTGTGAATGAGTAGGTGCCTGAGGGAACTCCCTCAGCCTGTGGCTCATCAGGCATGACTGTTGCTGATAGTTGGGAGCTGCAGTTTTTTTTCTATTACTCTATCCATTTTGTTATGCTTTGAAACTGCTATAAAGTACATGCATTTAAGATCCCATTCTTTAATATATTGGTCCCTGTAGTGTTGTGAAGGAAACTCACTTTCTTTGGTCATATTCCTTGTTTTGAAAAATAGCTTAATGAAAGAATGCTAATTCCAATATTCCTTCATTTATAGCAGCCTGGATGTCCAAGACATTATCATGCTCATATATATTATAATTTATACACACATCTCACTTTAATGATATATAAACCTCAAATACAGAGGAAACTAGAAATTTACAGGAGAATATAAAAGTATGTGAGTATGTACACACACACACACACACACACACACACACACACACACACACACACATATATATATGTACTACAGTACATGTATTCCAGTCTGGGGATGATACGTCTAGGCAACAGCATCTAGCTAGGTGCCTCTTCCAGGGTGGACAGACATGAAGAGCAGGATTATTAAAATGAAGCATTATTGAAGATTTGCTTTGTTTTCATCTGTCTTCTGCTGGACCAAACTTAACATTTGCACACCATACAACTTCTTTTAGTTCAATATAAGCATGCACACAGTTATTGATAGGATAAAATTCACATGTGTCGTCAGCTTTGCATGAGATAAAACTGGGGAAGCAAAATGATGAAATTTGGTCTTAAGCTACGCATAATAAGAAAGGAATGGCAGCAACTGACAGAGAAAGCAAAGAAGGAAGAAACAAGGAACTGGGAAGTGCCTGTTCTCTGGTGGCAAAAGAACATGGGATAGAAGGGAAGGACTCGTGGGACAGTGGCTAGGAGTTTTACCATAGAGAGACTGATCTGAAACCAGAACAGGAGCCAGGAGCATGGCTGAGTGTTCCAGAACGACAGTGTTGAGGAATCTATCCCACTAAAAGCCACACTTTAGTTTGCTCAGAGAGACAGCCAACCGTGGGCACAGCCACACATGAGTAAGGACAAACCAATACTTTAAATTCTTGAAGAATATTGCTTTCAGACTCAGAGAGACCTGTGAGAAATGAGACTGGCAGGCGAGGGCAATGTGACTTAGGACTCAGACCAGATAACTAATAGGAGCATAAGTGGCAAGAGAAACAGAGAGAGGTGGAAAAAGAAATAGCAAGGCATGGGAGGAGTGCGAATGGATGAGCCGAGAGAGTACTCGGACCTCCTGGATTCTGGATGCAGGAGGCACTATTCGCCAGAGATTGTTGATGCTGATACCTTGAGAGTGGAACTACCCTTTGTCCAGGGCCCTTCATGTCTTATGAGCTGCCAACACAAAGGTTGGAGAACTTTGTCTTGAGGGTCCTTCTCATCTTGGGGTTGCTTAGCATCAGAATAGTGGAATGCAGGGAGATGCCCATGTAGGTTATCACTTCCCAGGCCCAGCGCCAGGAATTGTAGATAGTTATGACATGTGTGGTAGATAACATCAGGAACAGGACATATGATGTATAGAAGATGAGGAAGAAGGCAAGAGACTTCAGAGCCATGGTGTGAGCCTGGGTGCTGTGATCATGAGGCCTGGGTCTGTGGTACCTCATCTGTTCCAAATGCCAGTACAGTGAGAACATAAGCAAGATGATGGACAGCAGAGACAGGAAGAATGGAGTGATACACATCAGCATGGTATGACAGCGATAATAATACTGAGAGAACATACGCGCTCCACAAGCATGTGTGCAGTTTTCGTAGGCCATCATCTGAAAGGCGATTGTGTTCCCAGTGAATGTGGAGGTGGCTGACAGACCACCAATGATCAAGGATCCCAGAAGTAACCTGGGCACAGACTGAGAAATTCTCCATTTCATCCACAAGAAGATGGGGTGGGAGAAGGAACAGATTTTCACACAGTAGAAGATGGCAAGCCAGGTGGTTAACCAGTAATTGACAGTGTTGATGAAGTCCCAGAGGATCCCAAAATAGCTATCTATTTGATGAAGCAAAAAGAAGTTCAGAAAGTTGTTAAGGATTGCTAGTCCATGCAGACAGAACCTGGAGGCAGCTAGGCAGGCCACAATCATGTCACCTGCAGGGAGTGCGTGGCTTTGAATCCATTTCCTACCCAGCACAGTGACCATGAAGCCATTTTGCAGCATTGCAGCTAGAGACTGCACACAAAAGATGACCATGAAGATGAATGTAGGTGACCAAGGCATCTTCTCTGGGGAAGATTTGCTTAGACAGGCTCCTACTGCTGAGGCCCGGGACACAGTCCCAGGAAAAAAACAAAACAAAACAAAACAATAAAAGCATCTTCAGCCAAATGACCTGGCTGAAACCTCTTCCTGGATTCATGCAAAAGCCCAGCCACCAATGAGGCCCATGTATACCAGGAGTTGAAATGAGGAAAACTGCTGTCCTTGCTAGCTTGGAAATCACTCCCAGCTCAATGACACCTGTGTCTATTTGCAGACAGTGCATTTGCCTGCTCTTCATCAGAGTCAGGTGCAGGGAAATATGAACAGAATCCAGGGATGATCCAATACACCACCACTTTGCACATCGCTACTGTGTTTCATCTTCATAGGTAACTCCAGGTCACCTTACCCTACTCTAGCCTCCACCACTTCCAACTCAGTTTGTTTTACTTTTATTTTAGCATGTTTGAGAGAAAACATACTTGGCTTTCTGTGTCTTGGTTACTTTACATTACATGACCTCGGATATATCCCATTTCCCAACAAATGGCATCACTTCATTGTGCTATAATAGTCCACTCTGTGTGCGTGTCTTCAATTCTGTCTATCAATCTGTCTGTCTCTATCATCTACTATGTATTTATCATCTATCTATTCATCTATCTATCTATCTATCTATCTATCTATCTATCTATCTATCTAATCCATCTATCTATCTATCTATCTATCTATCTATCTATCTATCTATTTGACTGTTTATTTAATACTTCTCATATCTATTTATCTATAGATGAACACTGAGGCAGATTCCAAAGCTCAGCTATTTATTATAAATCATGCTGGAATAAATGGATATATAAAGATCTCTTACCTATGCCGACTTCATTTATTTTGAATTTATATCCAAGAGGATAGCTTGATCCTGTGTTAGTCCTATGTTTAGTTTTTAGAGGAGCTACTACACTGATTTTCATAGTGACTGGACTAATTTGCATTTACCTGCAGTGTACATGGCTTCCTTATTTAGTCCACATTCTAGCTGGCTTTTCATTGTTGTTTGTTTTGTTTTGGTAGCCACTGTGATTAGAGTGAGATGGAATTTCCATAAAGTTTTGACTGATGTTTAATTCTCACTATTGGATAATTGAATGCATTTCCATTTTATTTCAGTGGCTACTTTGAGTCATGTAGTGCACAGCTTTCCTTACTGTAGTCTTCCTTGAAATAGTACTGGGTTAACATGTATTATAATAAACATAAAATTATACATTTTTCTCCTTCCCTAATTTTTAAGGACTGATGTAGATTTTACTTACATATATGTTGAAAATCCCATAATTATTAATTTTTCCCCTGTGCTGGCTCAGAAATTTCCTTAATAAGGTAGGCACAACCAATCAAGGGGGACATGCCCTAGCAAAGTCTGTTTTGATGGCTTTTCTGCATTAATCTCCTCATTTTCCACTGTCTTCATAATGTTTTCTGTGAGGAAATACTCAGAGTGGCTATTATTTTTGCTTTAAGCAGTCAGGGATATTTTAGTGATTTAAATAACAAAATTCTTGCATTGCCAGGGTAACCACACTTGTCACATGTTTAGTTTCCTTGGTTAGAATCAAGTTTCCTTATGGAACTACCTTTTGTACACAAGTTTTTCATATAATAAAAATGAAGATAGAAGAGTAGCTAAGTCAGCTAATACATGTCAATTAATATGGCATGAATACTACCAATTATTAAACTATAAGGATATTAACAGATGATGCTTTTGCTTGAAGCATCACAAATACAATAATAAACTAGATTAATTGGATCAAAAGCAAGTCCAAAGATTCATGGACTTAAAACATAAGAAAAAGAGTTCTGAAAAGCTATGGGGAAGTAATAGCCTAAACAAAACATATTAGTGCAGTTGGCATCTATATTCAGAAGTAAAATGACTTCATACTTAAAAGTCAATTATAATGTTTTATTTGTAGATGAAAGGTACAACAGTCTTATGAGGAGTGAAATGGAGGAATACATTTAGAATTTCAAAGTAGGGAAATATTTCTTTTTTATATAATTTATTTTTATTCCATGTACATTCATGCTTTGCCTGTATGTATGTGTGAAGGTGTCAGATCCTCTGAAGCTGGAGTTACAGGCAGTTATGAGCTGTCATGTGTGTACTTGGAAAAAACCTGGGTCCTCTAGAAGAGCAGTCAGTGCTCTTAACCATGGAGCCATTTCTCCAACCCCAGAAAAATATTTCTTAAGACCAAAATAAAAACAAAAAAACCCCCAGCAATCACAAATATAACATTGGGATGCAGCTGTCTAATGTTGAAAAAATAGAAATGGTAACACAGCCCTGAGTTATAAACTTAAAGGGTGCTAAAACATAGCTAGGGAATAGAAAGTTGATGTTCTTGGGAAACAAGACTTGGAAAAGGGAAGTATAGGGGTTCTTCCCACTTTGTCAGGGCTGGCAGTTAGATTTACAGTTCAAATAAATGTATTAAGAGTATATTTGCTTTATTTGATATCACCAAAAAAATTAAAAAGAATGGGGACTGGAGAGATGGTCATAAGAGCACTAGCTGTTCTTGCAGAGGACCCAGACTCTACTTCCAGTACCCATATAGTTGCTCACAGCCATCTGTGACTTCAATTCCAGGGCATCTGATGCCCTCTCCTTGCCTCTGATATTCATGGAGGTAAATGATTCATGCACACACAATTTTAAAAATATTTTTAAAAAATAGTTAAGAAGGATAGAGGTAGAGTCAGTGGTTTATGATACTGAAGAGAGCCCAGTACAGTCTCTTCAGTCATTATGAAAGATGTAGATATAATGGGTGAACATCCCTACCCTTCTCCACTTATGATAGTGTAAGAGGCAGGGCCTTTGCAATGGGATTTGGTCATGAGGCTGGAGCCCTTGTGAGTAAGATGAATAGTTCATAAAAAATTCATTGTTTGCCTTTCTATCCTTCCGGTACAGCTACAAGGTACCACATATGAGAAAGTGCTTTTTACCAGACACCAAAACAGCCAGCACCTCTGTCTTGGATTCCTTGGCCCTCAGAACAGTACACATTTACACTGTTTTCCAATTACCTCACAGCTCAAATAAGACGATATGTCTATGCAAATGAATCATTCTCTATTTGGCAGAGTAAAAACAAGCAACCATTTTTCAGTCTATGGCTATGTATCTTTACTTTCCTAAATATAAAACTGTTTCTTATGGAAAGTGCTAGAATTAATCAGTGTTATGGAAAGTCATGTTAAGCATGTGTGTCTACATACAGGCTTATAAAACATACCTTCATAATCTCCCCTCATATTTTCAAGAGGAGAGAAAGACTGCCTTACTGTTAGGAATCTGGGTTAATATAATCCGAATTCCAGGTCTGGGTATGTGACTGCTAGAAGCTTTCCCAGAAGGAAAATGTCACTTCCTCATAACCCTTCATGCACGAGCAAAGCTTCTCCCATCGTCAGCGTTTTTCTCCAAGAAGGCAGTCAGTCTACACGCTTCAGCTTTGAAACCTACCAAAGGAAGAGACCTAAACCACCACATCACTACCTTCAATTGATATTCTGCATCTTACCGGTTGCATTTCTATTACCCCATACTTGGCTAAATCCTAGCTGCTTGTCCTAACGGTCAGGAAGTCACTTTAGAAGCATAGCACTGTCCCTCCAGCCAGCTGCCCTTCTAGAGCCTAAAGGTGGGTGAACCAGAGGAGGGGCGGGAGCTGGGGATGGGCCTGACCCTTCTCAGCAACTTTATTACATAACATGCATTCCATCTAAACACACTTATATATGTTATTTATTTACACCACTACATAAGGCATGGACGCTTTCCTTGCTGTGTTTGACTCTTGACTCTTATGCTATCAATGTGATTAGTGCTCACCAATCTTGCTGCCTTATTTTCAGTATTTAATATACTGCCCAATAACTATGCATATTTTAAAATACACTTACCATTTATGTTGTGTTTCTTCTATGAACCATTCCTGTATAATTTATTATTATACTTCTACTGTGTAGTTGGTCTTTTTCTAATAGAAATACTGAAATAGCAACGTTTTGTAGATGTTGAACAGCAAAACCCTGTATTCTGAAAATGTTGCCAATACTTGTATTTTTCCTTTCTACTATTTAGCTTTTGTTGTAGAGTCTTTTCCAATAGTTTAAAATCCTATAAATAGTCAATTTGGGTAGTTTTCTCTTCTTTTTTCCCCTTTAAAAAATACATTTGCCAAATCCAAGTGGTGATAAAATTATTCTATACTTACTGCTGCTATTTTTAAATGAAGTTTTAAGATTTATAGGACTTTTTGGTTGTTGTTGTTTTACCATGTGTG